CAGGCTTGATCACGGGTTCAGAGAGGTGGTGATGCACGGAATATAAGAGCGTGGGACCCGAAAGGAGTTGGATCGACATCAAATCGATGGGGAGTCCCCGATCAGATGAAACGGCAGTCTGTCAACTTAGCAGTGTGGATTCAACACGTGAGGACGAGGGGCCCACATTGATACAGTGTGACACGTTTCACCGTATTAGACAGTGGTTCCCCACAGGTCTTGGATTGAAAAGTGCTGTAGAGTCAGAATCACACAAATATTGAAACGGCGGAAATACCCTGCTCTCTCTCTCTCTCTCTCTTCTGTCAGCATTGTGTATTTGTATTGGCTTCTCGAATGGCAGAGTGACGCCTAGGTGAGGAGTCAGGGATTAGTCGGGTAAATTCCCAAACTGTCCGAGTGAATAAGCTCAGGAGTTGCCATTGCCGTGATTACTACTGCTTTTGCTAGGACCACGTTTTCCATCATTAGAGTACTTGCTTTGCTTACTATCTAATTTGCTCTTCCTTTTTTTTTTTAATCTTTATCCAATTTGAGATGTTCTCAACACACTTAATGCGGAGTAGCAAAAGTATCATTTCCTTTTCAAAAACAAAAAATGAGCAATGTCTCATACATCACAAGAGTACGTGTAAATAACACTTAAAGTTGTAGTCAAGCTCATTAAGAAAACAAAAATATTATAATTTTTATTGCTTTTGCTGTATAGGATACCATTAGTAATAACCAATAAAGTACAATCATTTTGCAGCATTGATAAACCAAGAACAATTGACAATTCTTATCCTAGGAATAATTGCCAAGAGTTGTCCTCAGATAAAAAAGGAAGATTGTGAATGACGAACCTGAGAAATATAAAGTTGTCATTGCAACATGTCATTTTCATTGATATGCAAACTTGTTGTTTTGATCTTCCTGGAAATTTTATATGCTCTCTCTTCCTCCCTCTCTTTAATCTTCTTATTTAATGACTAGGTAGGTTCCAAGGGTTTACTTTGTGGGTTGGTGAATCGGGAAATCTTAATTCGATTTGGTTAATCATTAGACCTAATCCGAATTAATGTTTAGTTATTAGTTGGAATACACCTGTATGTTTGTTAACAAAAAGCTTTATATTATAGGTTGCTTTCTTTCCTTCTTTCTCTTTTTCTCTGCCTGAATTTGATCGATCAGCCAAAAAAGAAGGCATTGGCGTTGAAATCATTGGTTCCACGTGTTTGGGCATTGCGTGTGAAATTACTCCAAGTGTAGACACGTAAATTGCCGTTTTGACGTCAATGTTGTAAGCCTTGCAGTGTAGGCTTTCTTTGTTGCAAATTTCAATCAATCGACACTGGTTTTTGATAAGATGGGTGGACAATTAGAAAGAAGACGCCAGATGACGCATTTCCTCGATGTTAACACATCTAGCTTAATATTAATAAATTTTGAAAATACAAAGACTTAATTTATACGAAATATAGTAAAAAGATTAGATTTAATATTTTGATAAAATTATAAGGATTAAATTTAGAATTTGATAAAAAAAAAAAAGCACCTTGATTAATAGTGACTACAAAACAAATCAATCGTCTACAATGTACCCTTGGAGAACTTAATTAGATGTCGGACTCAGCACCATTTTCAACTTGCGAGTGGAAGAGTAAAGTGATTGTAAATACACTGTATGCACTAATTTTGTGTGCAAAGGTTGTGAGAAATTTCTTCAAATACGTTTAGGTCACGATTGAGTATATGACTGAACAAAGGGAAATAAATCAAACTTCCAAAGCAATTATTACTTGTGCGATGTGCCTAATCGGACAAAGAACATGAGAAAGCGTTAAAACGAATACCTATTCTTATAAAATACCTCAATTACTCAAAATTAAAGCTTTTAGAGAAGTTACATGAAAAAGTAAAGAACTCCATAATGTTGATTGATGAGGAAAAAGGAGGATCACATGGAGTGATGGACTTAATATAGGATATCTTTTAAAAAAGAAAAACTCACTTTTCAAATAGTGGGTTTGCAGTGATTTTCCCACTACTTGAGCCAACATGTTACTAGACCTATCCAACTTAATATAATTGGAGTATTGGGTCATATTCCAAAGTCAAACCCCAGAATCTGCATATTAAACCCATTTTCAGATTGGGAATTTATTACGCTTAGGCCAATTAAGGCAAAACACACATGCATTCCTCCAAACTTGGAACAACCTCCTTATAATACAACTGCTTAGCCTAATATTAGCTAAGATAAATACAAATGCCACTGCCCTACCTATTTTGGTGTTCCAACATTTAGTGCCAAGGCAATGCCTAACTCGTTGAGAATGAATGTGATATTCTATGTCTATTATAAATGTCTGTTTCTCCTAATAATGGGCAAAAAGAATATTTCAATTCCTTTCAAGGAATATGGACTTACATATTATGTAAGTTATACTTCAACCACAGTTTATTTAAATTATTTTATTTAATGTACTTAATATGCAAAGCTAAGAGAATTATAAGTATTACAATTATTATAACAGTTTGTATTTCAAGCACATTTTTTATAATTTTTCTTAATATACATAAGAAAAATAAATAAATAGCCGAATATTTTATTTAATAATTAATGTATGATTTTTTTATTTAAAAAAATAGGATTCGAATTTTTTTGTTAAATTAAAAATAATAATAAATAAATAAAATAAAACTGCTATTGTCGGGAGGAAAACTAAGGCCAAATGGTGCCAAAATATTGTTTGTTGTTTGAGTAACTAAATAATATGATATTGGCAAGAAGTCAATACCCAATATTTAACCTCTACCCTAGCTATTTGTCTTTCTTTTTCATTGTTTGAATCCTCCTTGTTTATCAATCCTGTATAGGTGTCAAAAAGTTATTTTAATCATTAAAATTTAACGGATTAATAAAGAAATTAATATATGTAATTGATAATTTGTCAACACAGCTGCAACCTCCATGATCTAATTAATTGCCGCGTTTGGGTCTGATGCTCTGCCCACTGATTAAGAGTTAAGACTTTTATTCAATTGGTGATAAGGTTAGGCATTGCTAATTAAAGGATAATCGTGTAATAATAATGTTTAATTAAGTTGGCGTGGTGCATTCTTGTATGATTTAAATGAACAAGTAACGGTTCTTCTGTCTCTATTTTAGTTCCTCCTAAAGTGATAATAATTTATTAAATAATTATAGAATGGAATCCATAAATTCATGAGTGGATCAACCAATTATTAATCCGAAATTCTCAATTGAACCGATAAGTTATTAAGTTATTGGAGCGGATATCATTTTCCTAATTAAAATCCCTAGAATATATCGCCTTTGGACTTGAATAAAGTGGCTCAAATTTACTTGGCTGCTTATTGGAGAAAATGTTTGGTCACGATTTCATGGCCAAAAGTGGAACAGAAAGAACACTATAGGAATAGCAACAGATTAAAAGCAAACAAAAATCAATATTAGAAATGGTGGAAATCTACATAGACTTGATTGCAACTTGACGTATCAAGCTCAACATGATTGAGACAATTGCACAAACCCAAGACAGTCAAAACCCAGAATCCACCGACATTCACTGTTTGAACCCATATCTAGCTAGGCTAAAAGTTTGTAGGCCTGGGCTCAATTAAGGCAAAGCACTGAACTCCGGATTCTGACTGTGGTTTAGCCTTAAAATGGTGCTCTTTATTCATGGCCTTACGCAACAATTTAATTCCTATACCGACTCAAAAAGAAAAAATTCCTTCAAACCCTCACCGTCTGACCACTTGAGCCAAGTTGAGGCAGCTTGAGCACATTATTTCAATTAAAAGTCAAGATTCAATCTCCAACCCCCTAGACTTTGTATTCCATACTTCGTAACTAGTTCTAACTCTTAACGGGGGCTTTAAATATGATATGGACATGCGATTTGATATATTGTCCCAATTTAATGTGTTATATAAAAAATATTATACATTCATTCAATTTAGTCTATTTATGTTATTGTCAAGAGACTATTGCAATAATCAAAATTTTAATTATAAAATTGTAGGGATTGTGTAGCATTATTCTGTGTCTAATTAACAGGCCTTTGTAGCTAGATTTTGTGTCAAATAAGTAATTTTCAAGTTTCATGTTATTGAACAAATTACATATATAAGATCTCAGAAGACATAAAAAAGCACATTGTTAACGTGAATCACAAACTATATAACTAACTAATTGCCTCTTAATATAAGATATGAGATTATTAACATTTATAATCGAGTTCGTTAGTAATGGTAACAATTATTTAAGTTAATATGAATGGACCTTACGTATGCTGGCTGCATGGGACTAGGCGTAGGCTGCATGTAGAATGCCACAAGGCACGCATTGCTTAAATTCTTAATTACCCAAAGCAGCCCCATGCCAAAGCCCATCATAGCCGCAAGGTTATTGTACCCATATGACTGGCCCATTGGAGAATTTAAGAATTTCCACTGTTAAAAAAAATTATGAATATAGAAATAAGGATAAAAAATTAAAATGGTTTTGGAGTGTCTATGTCCCTCTTTCCCCACATTCCCAAGGCAGGAGAACTTCACAGCTGATCGGCTCGCTGATGAAAGTCTATCACAAGAAGCAAGATTATAAATTCATCATCAAGCTCCCCAAGACACTGTGAGAGTAGGCTCATTTGTACCAAGATATGGTCTATGTGCTTTTAAGCGATACAACAAAACTTTAAAATTCTCTACACAGAATTAAATGAAATTAAAATAATTTTTGCATTAAAAACCCTTTTTGTTTTCTAATATAACAACATTTGATGAACAAATCTAACAAAAAAAAATTCTATTTTTCGTATGATAAATAAATATAAGTTTTTTACAATTAAATTATTTTAAATCAACCCATAATTTTATCCGCAAACTCGCGGAAGTTGATGTTGATGCACAGAAGTCAAAAAAGAGCGTACCTTTTGGAGAAGGTCAAATTTCGCCCTCTCAAAGAAGCCCTTTATATAGCTGCAAACATGGGATTGGGGGATGCCCCTGTGCATTATCTCATCTGCTGTGCTTTCTCGAACTTATCTCTTGAACCTCTTTCCAAAACCAACGGTGAAAGCCCACCCTTTGTCCATCAACAGCCTTTTTCCTGTTTTGCTACTGCCATGGCCAGCGGATCATCCAAATACCATGTTGTCGTTACAGCCAACTCTGTTCCTTTCGCTCATCAATTCGACCTCGACGATGCTATAACGATGCCGGAGAATCCTCAAGCCAGGCAACAAGCAGTCAACTCTTTGGTTTCAGACTTGCCGGCTGTTAATAATGCAACTGGAAGTTGCTCAATTTGCATGGAATGTTTCAGGCAATCTGATCAGGATGCTGCTAGACAAGTCTCCTGCGGCCATGTCTATCACCATATTTGCATTTCCGATTGGCTCTTAAACGGCAACAGCAACTCTTGCCCTCTTTGCCGTCATGAAATCTCCGGCTGAAGATATGTATACAGTCATATAGGGCAAGTCTCAGCCCCCTTAGTTATAGTTCTAAATTTGGAGTACGTCCACTCCGCATTTTTTTTTTTTTAAAAACAGCCTTGTCGAAATTAATATAAAGATATATATATATATTTCAAGACATCCTTTTCATTTAGTAGTATAAATTATAGTATCAACTTATTTTATTATTACATCTCGGTCTAAAATGTTTGTTTATGCACTAACCATGCGTTATTGAGCATACACATATATATGTTTAGCAATAATTAATCATATTTTAAATGGGAAATTAGGAATTCAGATATATCCTCTTGTACATACACTTAATTACAAACACATCTTCTCATCGCAATCTATTTGCTCGATGAATGTGCACCACTTTCTGATCAGTTAAGTTAAGGGCTTATCTTGAATATTTTTTCCACAAGTCTGAAAATGAAATCGAGGAAAAAAGTGACATTGGATTAAATTTCCAGTGGCCGTAATACAGCAAGGGAGCAACTGGCAACTAGTTGGCGGTGATGTTAAAGGAAGAACAAGTTGTAGTCTGGAATTGTGACAATTTGATGTTGAATGAAAACTTTGAACGTAATGGCTACGGATGTTTAATAGGAAGAGGTCAGTTCCTTCTTAATTACAAACTTGAAAGTCAACTTCAACCCAGAATTAATAATAATATATACTATTCCAACTCCAATAAATGTACGTTCCATACGGCACAGCGTTGTTGTAGTATTTAGAATTTTAGAGAAACAAATTTGGCTTCATCGTTAATTTTCTTTTAAGGATCATCTTTAGCTTTTTAGTTTTCTATTATTAGATACGAACTCATATCATTTATGCTCTTTTAATTGAATATTAAGCTAAAAAAGAAACGGAAAACCAATAATTTTGTTCAAAAGTAAATTATTAAGAATAAACAGAATTATGTTGAATTGAAAAGTTTGTATGCGAAATTTCTACACTTTACCCCGCGGAAGAGTTCACACTTCATACTTTACCCCCGCGAAAAGATTTTTACTTCATCGATTAGAAAGCCTGATATTACTTCATTGAGAAATATATTATTTTTCATATTTAATTATTCTTAAAAAACATGCATGATTTTGATTTCTACTACTAATTTTTTGGATAAATAAGCTGTTATAATTTTATTTTTACTTTTCTTAACATTAAAATTATAATTTACTGATATTGTAATTTTTTTTAAAAAAATATGAAATACACTGAAGTCCAAGGGTATGATTTCTTAATTTTCATAGTATATTAAAATTAAATATTAAATTTGAAAAAAGAGAAAATATATTATTATTATTATTATTATTTTCATTTCCTTGACTAACTAAACACGTTTCTTACTCTAGACAAAAATATAACTTTCAAGGGAAACGGAGAATTGGCTTAAAGTGACAATTTTTCCGGTGAGGGGAGAAAAAGGGTGTAGCAGATGTATACACATATACAAATGAAATTACTTTATGCAAATAAGGATTAGACTTTCTGATCCACCACAGTCAAGCATGAGCCTTTTTTAGACATGACTCTTCAGTTCTTTTTATTGGTATTCAGCAAAGACTTTAGCAACAGCGGAATTGATAGGTTTTTTAGCTAGCTAGTAATAAATACTCCATAATTGGTCAATATTTTGCTTTTCCATGAATGGCATTATCAGCACTGGAAAATCTGTTGTCTTGAAGAATTTCTTTTTTGTTCACCCTTTACCATTTCTTCTTCCACGTTTTTTAATTGGGTTTATGTAGCATTCAAGAAGTTTCCCTATACCTATAAGTAAATTTAATTGAAATTTTGAAAACGTGAGTCGAATTTTCAATACCCAACATTAATTAATTGCTGTTTTACACTTTTGTTATCTTAAAAATGGAGTGCATTAAAGCTCCCAAGAAAAGTTTTGATATATGACAATGCAAGATTATAATTATATCATTTGTTAATTTTTGTTGAAGTTTTTCTTTATTTTTTTTAATAAAAAGTAATGTAAACATAAGTTTTTAAACTGACCATGTGCATTATCCAAGAGTTCATCCTTAAACTCTCATTCAGTCTTTCTTTTTCTCATTAACATTAAAAAGATTTATTAAAATTTAATCTTCTAGATACTACATATCACAAACTCGTAAAAAAAATTCAATGAGTAAACAAAATTACATTCAAGGTTTTTTTTTTTTTTTTACATTCTTTTCTTTCAAGTGCAAACATAAAATTAACGTTGAAGGGTTGATGGAACACATCAACATCTTCTCCCCGAACTTTAAGCTAGTCCATATTTTTCTTAGTCTCGGCGTATCGTCAGCACAGGAATTATGCTTCCTCACCCAAAACCTGCTAGACCGCTTGATTTGCAGTCTTCGTCAAGCACTATCTTAGTAATATACACATGTACCCGCACATGTTTGGAAAATTCAAAAAGGGAAAGGAAAAGTAGGAGGGGAAAGAAATGATTGGAGAAGAACGATGAGGTGCAAGCAGAGGTTTACTCACATAATAGTTCATTTTGTTTGTCTTGACCATCACTTTGATTTCGATGATGAAAGATTGGACCATCTGTGATTCAATTGAAATCATAGTATTAACATTAATTATATATATATAATATTGCTTAATGCATGTATCTGTCTACCAGCATATAGAACGATTCAATTAGATGTAGGAATTGCATATATACTTTTGAATTAAATCCAAGCTTTAAGAATATTAACGTAGTAGTATTATTCTCTAGAAATTTGTAATTGTTTTATGAAGTCTTTGTACACAAATTAAGTGGAACGGTATTGAGCAATAGTTGCCAGTTTGGAACAAAGAGTTGGTGCCAGTTTTTATTTTTTTTTGTTTCTTTTGAAAATTGTATTTTATTCTTCCTCACCGGTTCTGCACAAAGAGCCACAAATAGCAAGGATCAACACAGAATCAGAACGAAGGCAACCGATCTTTCACAGTACTACAAAAAAAATTCTATAATCGGCAGACCCAAAAACAAGAAACCTGCTTAAAAAGCAAAACACAAAAGAGCCACCTAAAGGTAAAAGAGAAGAAAGACGTAAGCATGAGACTGCAACCAATATCATGAGAATCACAGCACACAAAGGAGTTGGTGCTGTTAATTGATAAAACAATGTCTAGTCTTTCATGGGGTCTCTGAATTACGCCTGGCCGCTTTGTGTTTTTTGTCTCTCTTTTCGTACATGTTGGCCTACGACCCTTGGCTTTGAGTTCAGTCCATGGTCTATGCAGCACGCCATCAAGGATTTGAATTTCTTGCTAAGCTTTGTTTATAGTAAATTAATATACTACACAATCTTTTGGAATTGATTGTAACCAAATAATGGTGCATGGTACGGGAACAAAAATATCTGTTTTGGATCAAAAGATATTTTGTTATGTCCTTGAGCGTTTGATCACTTAGAAAAATGTAATTGGTTATTTTAGTATTTCATCTTTTATATATATAAAAAAGAAAAAATTAATATTCGTTTAGAAATAAAACATTTGTGAGTTAACAAAAAAACACAAGCGTTGATCAGGAAAAATGTCTTACATCTACATCTACTTCTTCTTTTTGAGAGCTTAAGACTTTCCATTGAAATAGAAAATCCTCCTTGATCCTCTTTTTCTCCCTAAACCACTTCATCCTTCTTCTAACCTAATTGTCACAATACACCCACCCCAATCAGAACTTGAAAACGATAAGAAAGAGAATATTCATCCATCATCTCCAACAAAACTTTATTAGCTCCAAAAACAATATCTAAAATTCAATAAATTCCCATGATAATGATGCCCACATTCCGAACCTATTTACAAAACAACCAAATCTCTCAAAGGGCGAAATAGGTTGTAGCTTTTAGGAGTAATTTTCTAAAATTGAAAAGATGACGTAATTCGAGACTAAGAAACGCTTGGGCAAGGAACGGAAGAACGAAAAAGACTAAGAAAAGTGTGATGAATGTAAAATGTAAAATCAATCCTAAGATTTAGGGTCAAAAGCCGTGAAAGATTAAGGTGAGAAAGATTCTAAAAGACTTTAGACAGATCTTTTTGGAGATATAGAAAGGAAAAAGATTTCACCTAATACTCAATTTGAAAAGTCTATTTTAAAAATAATTTTTAATATAAAATTAATTGTTTTTATTCAATTTTTATCATGACTTAATAAAAATGCTTTTAAAATTATTTTAGATGAATTAAATGCTTCCAGATTCTCTCTTTCATTATTCGTTTGCTGTGTTTCTTATTTTTCTCTTACCATTTAACTCTTTTTAATTTTATCACAATTATCATTTCTCTTTACCTATCTCTCGTCATTTTGTCATATCGATTTACAAATCTTCAAATAGCATGACATGACAAGTAATAATATATTTTTGTTTTTATTACTTTACATTTACAAAACCCTCTATCTGTTTATCTCTTATCATATCATTATCGATCTGCAAATCAAAGAACATGATAGGACAAGTAATAACACATTCTTGGATTTATTAATATTGAGTTTTTCAGTAATTTAAGACTGATATAATATGCCTTGACTTATAATAAAGTGATTTATATCTTGACGTGTAACATCAGTAGCAAAAAAAAAAAAAAAACCATGACATATAATATTTGGTATTAAAACTTTAGCCTTGATGTGTAACATTTAATATTAAAACTTTACCCTTAGGATGTAATATTTGCTACTGAAACTTTGATGTGCAACATCTACTTAGACTTGTCGTTTTGTTTTTCTTTTCTGTTATTTTTAGTTGCTATATAGTATAGTCAACTTAATTTTTGGTTGTGCAGTCCATCAATATTTTAAGATTTTTTGTATTTGAGGCTATATCTACATATTAATAGTTTTTAAGATTTTGTAATTATATATATATATATATATATAAATTTGAATGAAAGTGAGAGAGTTTTTTCCTCCGAAGTTGTTAATCCCTTACTTTGTTTATCTTTTTTTTTTTTAACTTTTAGAGTTCTTATTTTTTGGTAAA